ATGAGTGGTAATAGTCTCAATCTTGCTGGTTATCTCCTACACATCTTTAAAGAAAAAGCCATCTTCAGACTTTGTAAAGAGCTCACTTGCCCTTAAAGAAATGTCTGACTTTTCTATTTCAGAACAAACACAGAGGGAAAGAGCAAGCTGGCTTGGGAGAAAAAGGAGAAATTCAAACTTGGAGGGTTTGGGGAAGGGTGAATAGGGTGGTTTCTTAAGTCAACTTGCTGTTAGTTGGCTTATGTATTGAGCCACCTCTCTGTGCCAGGCTCCATGCCAAACTCAGAGCACACCAAGATGAATCAGACTTGAATTCTGGCTCAGGGGCATGTGGCAGTTGTCAAGAAACTAAAGGAGCAAATGTACATACAGCACACAGGAGAGGGGGAGAGTTCACAATTTCTGGGTGTGGTACACAGCAGTCGCCCTGTGCAGAAGTGGATCCTCATTATGCATTGCTTAAGGAACTGCAAACTCTGGGAATGGCTTGGTGTATAAAGGGCTCTGAGCAGACTGAACTAGAGTGGTAACCAAGGTAAAATTAGTCAGGGTAGGGCAGGCCTGAGGCTGCTGCCTTCTGAACCTTCCCCCAGCTAACACTTGAGACTTTCCTGGGACTTTAAATAATTTTTTTAAAACAAAATAAATAGTAAATAGCTTTGCAAATATTGTTTTGCTTTCTTTTTCTTTCTCTTTGTAAAGAAGCATCTTATCCGGTATCTAGTTATGGAGGTATTTTCTTGAGGTAACTCCAAACACCTAGATATGGGGCAAGGTTTGACACAGGCCAATCAAATGTATGGAAAAGTCATTTTTTTCAAGAGGTGTGTTGCCCAGGCTAGACACATGCCTTGCTGCCTTGATGTAATCCATTTTTCACTGTCAAGGCCAGGAGCCAACCTCTTGTCTAAATATAGCTCCCTCAGTATAGTGTCTTAGGCCACCAACTCAGGCAGTTTGGGGTTGCTGGCCCTTCTCATCCTCCTTTCAAAGAGGAAATGTTGACTATCTGTGAAATTTCTGAAGGAAAAAGTGAAAAGTAGCCATGAAGGTTTTTTTTCTTCTTATTTTTAAAAACTTACAAAAGATGTAGGCCAGTAGTAAAAGTTGTTTTGAAAATTACATATGGGAAAAATGTGAAATTTCCTTCGTACTTTAATAAAAGTTTGTTGTATAACCTTCAGTTGTTTTCTATGTATCTACAAACATGCAATCTGTAGTTTTTTTCCACAAATTTCTCTTTTCTTTTTTTATAATTTAATAATAAAAATAAACATTTACTGAGTGCTCTGTATGCT